AAACATTTGTGATGCATCTGCCTCAACAAGAGCACAGTTATCGTTTCTGAAAAAGGAACATTTACATTTGATGTTTTTACAGATGATTCTTTTTTGCAGGTTTGTCAGCTTGTGTGACTCTGAATGAAGCAGTGTTTCAGGTTTAGTGAAGCACCAGTAATTAGGGGACAACTGGGATGTCTTAAAACCATCTCCGACAAAGTTCCTGTTCTGGTTGGAGGGTGGAACCATTTTGAAACTCAAGAGGAGTGTGTGTGAGCGCTAAATATTGTACAAAACACAATTAAAATAACTAAAAACAACTGGGGTGGCAAGAATCTATTTCTTACAGTGGCTGTGCGCTGAACAAAACTGGATTAAAAGGATTTAAAGTAAGATCCATTGCTAATCTAAAAATACTCCTTTGAACAAACTGTTGTAGAGCTGCTGGTGAAGACAAAAGTGTGTTACTTTAAAAATAAAATTATTAATAATCAGAACTAGTTTCAGTTTTGGTTTCAAACCTTTCTGAAGACCAGAAAACACAGTAAGAGAAAAATATTTCAGTTCTTTCAATCTGAACAGTTTGTTCCATGGGAGAGGAAAAAAATACTCTATATAAAGGATGTTTGTCAATAAACAAACAAATTAATAAATAAATGAATATTTATTTTGGAAGATTTAATAAAATAGTGTTATTATTTTTTTAAAGTTTACGTTACCCTTTTAAGAAGATGAAACTTTTCTGTCACTTTTTCTTAATAAAATGTAACGTCCATTTCCAAAGACGGTTGCAATCAGATTAATCAAATAAAAAAAATGAAATTTATAAATATAAATAAAATTAATAAATAAAATAAACAAACAAATACAAATATTTATTTAAGTAAATATAACTAAAGTTTTAATGAATTAATTTACAGCCAGGTTGGTGTGTATACATAAGACTGGAATATCATATGTACATTTTGCAAAGTGGCCTATAAATAATAATAATAACAATAAAAACAAAATACTATATGGCAATTATGTCTGTGTTTATTTTTATCCACTAGCTGGAGTCAGAGTTTTTCTCATGAAAGTTCCAGAGTCAGAAATACCATTGAACCCTTATTTTTATTTATTTTATTTGCCATTACATCAACTAATAAAAGTTAATTATAAATACATGTTTACTCCACACTAATGCTTCTAAAATAAAAATATCAATTTAAAATGTGATATTTGCAGCTGAAAACTATATTTTATTGACAGTTTTGGATGAAGCAAAGTTATTTTTAAAATTACTCCTTTTTTCCTTTCAATTCAGTTATTTCCTTGAAATTGTACCTAACATGACACGGAAGCTTCATCACATGCAGTGAATAGAATTTGTCTTTAAAAGTCAGGATTTGATTGACAGCTTGGCATGCATCATAAATTAATTTGCAGAATCTCAAAGAGCAACTTTCCTTCAGGCACGCGGCTTGTCTCCATCGAAGCTGTTTAAAATGTTTAGGAACTCATCTGACTTGTTAGAACTCTAGATAGAATCTGCAAAAAACCTGTTGGATTTTCTAAAATTTTAAATAAAAGCCACAATAAATCAAAGCAGGTGAAGTCACCATGACAAAACAACAACAACAGAAACTATTTTGCAAGGAGCGCTCTGTGGAAACGATCTGTTTGCTTTAGATGAAAATAATAGCAACGTAATTTGATGTTCAACGTGGATTAAATGGTTAACTTATAAATGTGCAGAAGGAAAAAAACACTAAAGTGTGAAAAAGAAGAGCTGAGCTCTCATTTGAATGTCATCTACATGAAGTGACTTTAGACGTAAACATGAAAAACTGATATGTGTCTAACAGAATCAAGATGAGCTAATTCTGGTCAAATAAGTACAAAATAGATTTTCCTTTGAAGTTTTTGCTTAGGCATTACTATTGGAATTAAAAAAAAAAATCTTGAAATGGTCAAAAGAACAAGGCATGTGCACGTCTGCTGTGCAGAATAATAAGAGGTTCCTATTTTCAAAGTCGTAATCACTGTCGATGTTCAGAAATTAAAATTCATAAAGCTGCTAGCATCAAGACTGATCCAGATGTTGGAGCGTACGTGTTCACAGAACATTAAAACTCCCAAACCACCGTGAGGTGATGGAAAACAACATTAATGTCATTAAAATGAATGAGCTGGGCACTGGTTTGACACACATTAGTCAAATAAGATGAGTAAGATGGGGGGGGGGGGGGAGTGGTGGTGCAGTGGCTAGAGAAGGTTCACCTGTGCTCGGAAGATCGCCGGTTCAACTCCCGGTACTGACAACATCAAAATGTGGGTGCGGTGAAGCACCTACAACTGCCTCCACCCTCATTTGCCCCACTCTGGGCCCTTGAGCAAGGCCCTTAACCCCCACTATCTGCTCCCTTAGACAGCAGCTCTCTGCTCCACAGAGAGAGCTGTGGTAGCTCGGTGTCTGTGGTTGTGTCAGGACGGACATCCGGTGTAAAAATAACTGCCAAGTCTTCATGCGACATAATTCTCTGTGGCGACCCCTGACGAAGGGATCAGCCGAAAGAAAAAGAAAGAAAAGTCAAATAAGAAGAGTTGCAGAGTCCTGACAGACACTTTAAATCAGTGGAGGAAGCCTCCAGCAGGATGTGCTTCATTACTCTGTGAAATCACTCCAGTGAGGACCGAGGAGCACCACGTGTGTCAGCCATCTTGAAAACATCCTGATAATCCAACAAGGCTGAGTCCAGAAGAAGCTGAAGAGCTGCTCAACCTTGTTACAGCTTTAAAACGGCTTCAGTTGAAAGCATACGATTAAACTTGCTGCCATAAGAGGGACAGTTGAATATTTTTGAAGAACTTTTTGAACGTCCTCTTACAGAGATGAATTAAACCAAGAACATCAGCTTCACATCTGCAGTCCTTGCTGAACATTTTGACACTGAAATAAAAAGAAAGTACAAACCCAACGAGGCACAACACGAGGGGAGGTCACATCAGGTCACAAACATGGACTCAGTCCCAACCGCCTGAAGCCAAGTGGCTCCCTCAGGTTCCATAAACCTTCGGAGGAGGCTTCACAGCCAAGAGCCCCCCCTCGGGGGTCACCTCAGACAGGTGTTGGTAATAAGAAGCACATGATGAGTGTTCAGCTGCCTCAGTGCAGGAAAACAATATTTGGTATTTAAATGAGCATCTGCTCTCTCAGAGCAAGAGCAAAACCTGCAGCTGATGAAACGAGGATGAGCTTCATCAAAACAGCAGATTGTGCCAGTCATCCATTTCCAGAGCATGGAGGAAAGAATTCATTCTCTTTGCTGGGGAGGGAAGGAATTCACCATAACTGATGGGAAAACATTTTATTTACAGACTTGCTTTATGATGGGAACAATCGGAATAAAGTCAAAATGTTAAGATCCCACAGTGTGCTGAGAGGCTTTGTCCTTTTTATGTCCCACGTTGTGTCTCTGTCTTCACGTCCCAAGCAGTAAAATGTCCTGAAGGTCTGGACCAAGACAAAATATTATACATAAAATCATATGAAGAGTACATGAGGTGGATCCTCCTCAGTGTTTTATTCAAGTTAATGAATGAATCATTTGTTTTGGGGCTTCGTGTCACCATCAGAGGGGTGTGGTGTGACATTCAAACCTCTTCTGTGAACTTCAGACTGGAGTGGAAAGATCACGCGCACAGTGAACCGAGCGATCAAACCTCCTCCAGCAGCCTGGACTCAGTGCGTGTACGAGATTACCTTGGAGCTCGACGAACCTTTCCGGTCTATGATGGACAGCGTGTACTCCGCGTTGTCCAGAATCTGCAGAGGCACGACCCCCTGGACCTCTGCTCCGTGCGTAACGGAGCGCGTGGTGCAGCCTTTGCTCTGGGGAGGAGTGGAGACTCTCCAGAACAAGCTGCTCAGCATCTTCCTGATCTCCGGCCTCATCAGGCAGTAAAGAACCGGGTTCAGGCAGCTGTTGGTGTGCGCCAAGCACACGGTGACCGGAAACACGTAGGTGTGCACCGTGTAGTAGGACGTGTCCCAGTTGGCTGCGTTAAACTTCACCAAAACCCCCCAGAAGGTGATGGCGTGGTTCGGCATCCAGCAGAAGAAGAAGGACAGAACGACAATGGCGACGGACTTGGTGACTCTGGACCTCCGCTTGGGGTTGCTGCTGCCCATGCTCTTCCTGCGCACAAAGCGCAGCAGCATCAGGTAGTTCACAGTCACTATGAACATGGGCACCACGAAGGCTATTAATATTTTCTGGATGTGGTAAAGGGCGAGCCAGTCGTGTCCCTCTGGAAACTTGAGGAGGCACAGTTTTTCCCCGGCCACCACAGTCACGGTGGAGAAGATGGCAGTGGGAGCCGTGGCCGCGGTGGCAGCCAGCCACAGCACCGCGCACACCCACTTTACGCACCGAGACCTCCTGTAAGACCTCTTTTTCAGCGCGGTTGCCACAGACAGGTAGCGGGTCACGCTCATGGCGGTGAGGAAGAAGACGCTGGCGTACATGTTCATGACGGTGACCGACAGGATGATCTTACACATGGCGTCTCCAAACGGCCAGCTGAAGTCCAGCGCGGTGTCCACGGCCCAGAAGGGCAGCGTGAGCACGAACTGGAAATCCGTCACGGCCAGGTTGATGATGAAAACATTGATGGTGGACCTTTTGCGACCTTGTCTCAGCCTCATGAGGAAGAAAACGAGCAGGTTTCCCACTAAACCCACCGCGCAAACTACAGAGTACACCACCGAGATGAATATCCTCAGGATGGGAGAGCCGTCCGCGCTCACGTCGATGTCCTCAAAAGTGAACTTGTCATCACCCGCAGAACTTCGGTTCGGAGCTCCGCTTTGGTTAAACACCTCCTCCATGTTCAGAGCTGCAGCGTCCTCCTCCGGCTTCAGTGGCTCCTCATCATCTCCATGGCGCCTCCGCTGTGTGACAGCTGACCCGGGGGCTGCTTTTATAAAGGTGTCGCTCCTCTGCTCAGCCGCGATTGGTCCAAGAGGAGGAGAGGAAGCAGTAGCCCGTCTTCAGCAGCTAACGAGGATGGTGCGCGCCAGGTGATGCTGCGCACGGACTGTGCGTAAAACAAGCCCAGAGGCGTATTTAAAAACAAAACAACAAAATAAAACAAAAAAACTCCATATAAAATGAATTAACAAAAGCACTGACATGTGTAATAAACATATATGGCTAATTTGATCCTTTTTCTGATTTTTGATTTTTGTAACCATTCCACCCCAGCAACACTTTATTTTAATACCACACCTGCCAGATTAACTGTCTATGTCCAAATAGCTGCGCAACATCCACATGAAGGACATTTTGTCTGTCTCTGATCCATAATGTCTCAGTTCACCCACAAGAGGGGGCGCTAGGCTGATAGGAAGATTATCAACAAACGTGTCCAGACCACGGGGCTTTGGGATTAAACAGTAACAACCTACCATTTAGTGACCATGCATTTTTAAATGGGCTTTAACGTTTCCGTTTAATTTTTTGCATTTTAATAGTCAAATTTTAATAATAAAGATAAAGATTAATAAAGATTAATAATTTGAATCTAATTTTAATAATCTAATTTGTTGAAACCACTGGGTGTTTCACGTCAAGAGTTTATTCACTGTGCCCTTCATGGCCTATTTACATGTTCTCCAAGAATTATTATTAGTATCATAATTGCTATTTTTTATATGCCAAAATTCATGCTCATTGATCCAGGTAAAATCCAACAATGTTCAGTCGGCTCATCTGGATGGGTTATTTTGTTGCTGAGACATTTCATCCTTCATCCGAGGGACTTCTTCAGTCTGAGGAGCCACCAAACTGAATCCCACAATCAGCTCACTCCCAGAGTGGAAATAATCCGTTTGCTGGTGTACGATCAGACGTAATGACATTGTTGGATTAATACCTGGATTAACAGCATGAACTCTGGTGTTTTGAGCCACTTCAACATGGCTGCCTTAGAGGAGTTGACAGGGGAGAGGGCAGACCCCGGAATACATCTTATCAACAGCAAACTAGTTGTTTCCACTCTGGGAGTGAGATGTTTGTGGAATTCAGTTTGGTTTGGCTTCTCAGATTGAATAAGTCCTTTGGATGAAGGACGAAATGTCTCAGAAACAAACAAAAAAACCCAACCTGTTCAGGTGACTCAACAATGTTCAGTCAGGTAATCTGGACAGTTTCTTTTGTTGCTGAGATGTTTTGTCCTTCATCCAAAGGACTTCCTCACTCCGAGAAGCCAAAGAAAACTCGATAGAGGGAAACAAACAGTTTACTGGTGCTAAGATGGACTTATGCTGGTGTTGGGAATCAATTTTGTTTGGCTTCTCAGACTGAAGAAGTCCTTTGGATGAAGGACAAAACGTTTCAGCAGAAAAAAAGAAAGCGTCCAGATGACCTGACTGAACATTGTTTTACTATTATTACTGCGTGCCGCTCAATGTCAAAACAGGCAACTGTTTTTGCTTGTGTCTGTGTGTCTGTTAGCAAAATATGTCTGTAAACAAACAACTGGTTTAAAAGAAACCTTCAGAAAGTAGGGAGACTGGGACAGCTGCAACACTTTTTGCATTTGACTCAGTTACTTGCAGTTTGGATTAGATAAACTAAAGCGTTATACAATAAATTTACATCTAACTGTTAATAGTCAAAACTATTTAAAGGTGAGTAAAGACAGTAGGTCTGTTTTGTTTACAATTTACAATTAAATACAAGGAGTTAGATGTTGCAGCTGACCCCGGGCCTGGGGACAGTTGCAATGTGTTATAATTATTTAACAGGTAATAAAAATGAGTGTTATCATTGTGTATTGTTATACTGTTATATTCAAATGTAAGTCATTATTAAAGTTATTTATTTGTCAGCTTTGATCAGATGACAATTATAGATTTGTCAAGATGAGTAGGCCTTATGTGCAGATGTCAAAGAGTCTGATATAAAAGACAGAAGGCTTTCAGTGAGAATGGAAGTTTGTGAGGTCATTATTTTCTTTCATTTTTAATCAACAATTATCAATCAGTTTTTGCAGTGCGGGCAGCACGGTGGATCAGATGGTAGAGCTGCTGCCTCTCAGCAAGAAGGTCGCCTGGAGTAAATCCCAGCCGGGGAAGCCCCCCCCCCCCCCCCCCCCTGATAGCTGGACATAGACACCAGTGACACCGTGACTTGAAAGGAATTTTAATTTTAATAGTGTAGCTGTATAAACTGTGATATAACCCAATATAATTCTATCCAGTGCACATCTAAACTATCTGATTAATGGAGTCAAACCAGTTCAAGATGTCGACTGAACTTTAACTGATGTTCAACTTTGGAAAACAAAAAAACAGAAAAGTCTGTTTTAAAGACAGAGATAAAATGTAGAGTGGTAGTAGCTGAGAGTCCAACAATTTTCAGTCAGGTCATCTGGACAGCTTCTTTTTTTGTGTGCTGAAACGTTTCACCTTCCATCCAGAAGGCTTCATCAGTCAAGGAATCACACAACACAAAACTGATTCTTCCCCCAGCAGCTTACTCCAAAGTGGAACAAACCAGTTATGTTGGTGCTAAGATGGTGTCTTTGGCTCGCCCCCTCTTCCTCTCGACAGTCATATCAAACTGGTTCAAAACCAACAAAGTCCATGCACAAAAAAAAAAAAAAAGAAAGAAACTCTCCAGATGACCTGACTGAAAATTGCTGGATTATATACCTGGATTATTGATCAAGGACTTTGGTAGTTGAGAGTCATTCTTAACCAGGACCAGCCTGTGAGGTTTACTAAAAAAAAGCTACAGCTTCCTCATATCTAAACATAGATGAACTTCATTTAAAACCCTGACATCAAAGGCGGCGGGCGACATGCATTTCTTCAAGCCCTTTAATGCTTTTAAGTGTTGACATCTCATGCATGAGGTAAAAGCTTTTGATCAGAGCTCATTTCTCCTGCTGTCCGTGAACGCACCAGTGTGGAAACGGGTGCTCCTCTGACTCCCCAAGAGGAGTATCAGGCAACTGGTTCGGATCTGGGATTTCTTGGAGCAGCATTCCCCTTTAAGCTTGCAGCCCATTGTCTAAAGTCCACCCATCTGTGGGGGTGGCTCGTGGCTCTGCACAAGTTTCAGAGAAAAGTTTTCAAGCTGTCACTGGTTGTCGGGAGGAGACTGATGGAGGACATGAGGACCAGCCATTCCTGAGACAAACATTTACAGAGTGGTCGGAGTTAGAGTCAGAATGCAACCAAAACGTCCCGAGGAGACAAACGATGTCCAGGCCTGAACTGGGGGGGTCTTACTGGTACAGTTTGAGCGCACGCTGGTCGCAACAAAGCAAAGAGTGCACCCTGCTCTAATGGACTTCATCTGAAGTGACTGTTGGGAAATAAAAGGCGTTAAATGTTTCAGACATCCGGGTTACCGTCCTGACAAAATGACCCGTTTGGGGAGGTGTCCGCACGCTTCAGGACCAGGAGCGTCTCCAGGTCAAGTCGCGCTTCTTCTTCTTCTGACGCTGCAAACCAGCAGCAGAGCGTCGGGACTGCCCCACGAACCAGGTTGGTGACACGTTTCAAAACGTCCAGGTCTTTGAACTCAGCACACAGCTCCTCCTGCTCCATGATTGTGGGTCTGATTGAAGGCGGTCAGAGCAGAACCAGAACCGGACCAGTTGTGGCTGCTGTGTTTACTGTGCTGCTGACCAGCAACCAGGGCCGGTGTTTCAGCTCAGGCAGTGTGGGGGCCACAAGCTCGCTGCCTGCTTAGTTTTTGTCTTCAGGGTTCAATGTTTTTTTTATTGTCGTTCACATCACATGTGGTACATGAGGAGGAATGAAATTGTGTACGCAAGGTTCCAGTTACACACAAAAATAGCACAAATATACACAAATTGTCACACAAATCTAATTATTTCTGCATACTTACTATTTAGTAGGCCTATATATATCAAAACTTCTGCTCATTTAGGACATTGGTGCTATGACTTTTGCTTTTTTTGTAACTTTAGATACTTTAAAACAAAAATACCAAAAAAAAAAAAAAAACTATTTACTAGAAAGACATTGAGTTCTCATTTATGGTTCCTTTTGAAATCTGTTTCAGTATACCAGCTCTATTTTTGACTTCTTATCATACATTTAACTTTTAGCTATCATTCTGCTAATTTTAGCTTTTAACTGTTATTCAGCTACTTTTAGCTTTCAGCCACCTTTTTGCTGCGGTAGCTTGGCGGTCAGTGCTGCGGCCTTGTAATTCTGAGGTTGCAGGTTTGAGCCCAGGTTGCATTAGCAAGTGCTTTTAGCGTAAAACAAATTCCCAAGTCTTTCATGTGAGTTTGCTCGCTGTGGTGACCCCTGAAGAAGAGAGCAGCTGAAAGAAACTTACTTAGCTAGCCTTTTCACACTTTTAGTCAACCTTTGAAGCTTTCACTTTTAGCTGAGCTTTTGCCATGTTTACCTTTTAGCAAATATTTAGCTACTTTTAGCTTTGAGTTAGGCTTTTAGCTTCTAGCTAGCTTTAGGCTACATTTAGCTTTTAGATAGCCTTTTGCTATTTTTAGCTTTTAGCTAACCTCTTTAGCTTTTGGTTTGCTTTTTCTCACGTTTAGCTTTTGGCTACCATTTTCCTCAGATTTCCAGCCTTTTGGCACATTTAGCTTTTAGCACTCTTTTGCTATTTTTAGTTGTCACTTTGCTACCTTAAATTAGAATTTTTGTTGCAGTTTTAGGCATCATTTTGCTTTTTAGTTAGTGTTCTGCATCTTTTAGCTTTAACAAATCATTGTTAGCTTCAGTAGCTTTCAGCAGTCATTCAGCTCACAGCAGTCACACTGCAGCTTCACAGAAAATATATTTTCTCTTGTGAAATATTAGAGCTTAAAGCTCCATTA